CGGACTTTGGCACGAGACCTTATTTTTCATGTGGCACCATTTCGCTGCAGGTTATTCCTTTATTCTCAAAAAGAGTTGGATTCTTGACCTAAATAAATTCATCGATCGAAATTTCATTATTATTATTATTATCAATAATAATAATAATATCACAAATATTTACTTTTATATGAGGGACATTAGCTGGAAAGTCAGAATAAACAAATCTACTCTTTATTTAGGCACGTCTATATTTTTTTGTCTTTTTCATTCTTTTTTCTTATGACTAGATTTGATATCTATGCCGAGATCTTTTGATTGATAGATATCAGGAATTATTATTGTCTCCACACCTGACCAGATATCGTCACCAAATGAGAGAAATCTAATTGAAAAACACGTGAACATATATGCTAATTTCAACACTGTTGTGATCTGAATCATTTTAATTCTTTCTTTTATTCTGAAATCATCCATTTTCCTGAAAGGATCATTTAGATTGTTACTTATATATATATATATATATATATATATATATATATATACCATAAAGGTATACATATATGTATTTAGCAATAATTGTAGTTAGATCGATGCACACATACATACACACGTGTGTATAAACAAACATATATGTGTATGTGTGTGCGTGTAAAATAGCCGGAATTTCCAGATTCTATAAAAAATACATTACTGTTTACAGATTTAGTTATTACACGATATTATTAATGTGGAAGACCTTTGAGAAAATGCTTAAAAATCTATTTCGTCTTCATGCACTTTTGGAGAGAAGAAATTCATTTTTTCATGTACATGCCAAAAGTGATTGCCACATAAAACTGACTAAAATCACCAGTTCCATAGCTCTCTCATCGAATTTGGCCAACCAACTTTTTAACTTTATCGAAAATACCCGAAAAACCTGAAAATTCTTTTTTTTTTAACCCGTATTCAAAAACTCCAAGTACGGCTTCCAAAATATGATCTTTAATCATTTGATCAGATACATTTCCCAAATTCTAAACAAATGACCAGACATAAGAATTTTTAATCTCTTCTTTCTCAGGATGGGCGCAAATACGCATAAATATATATATATATATATATAAAACTAGGGTGACTTCTTGATGTTATAGGTCTAGGGAGTTGATCCCAGCGTGCGAGACAGCGTAGAAAAAGCCTAAAAATTTTACTATCAGTTGACCCAAGCCTTGTGAGTAAAATGAGATACACGGAACTGTTCGGAAATCTTCGATAGTTCTGCTATATATTTATATATATATATATATATATATATATATATATATATATATATATATATATATATATTCATATGTTTCATTAAATAATATAGACAAGTGTTGTCTATTTATTTTATGTAAATTCTTTTCATAACGTCTGATAAACTTAATAACATTATCATTAAACGAAGAAAGAAAATCACAATATTGATACATATTTTTTAATCAAATCTAAGCTTTCGGCTTACGTAAGCCATTATCAAAGATGACAATTACAGTACAATATATTAAGCAATACACGGACAAGAATGTGATGATAGTCTGTTTCTGTTTACATGGATAAGACGCTGGAAGCGAAAATCGCACCGCAGCTCATGACGTCACACATGACCACGCGAGTATTAAGTATAGGAAGCCATTGGTTTATACCAATGGCTTCTGTTACCATTTGTAGATATTTAAGAATATTTGTGGAGATTTCATAGTTTATTTTGTTCAGGTTAGGTTTCAACTGTTTTATGTATACAGCTTCAAGAATTTTTAGTTTTTGTTTATTGTTTTCATGTTTAAACATAATTGTGTTTACAACAAGGATTTTACGGAATTGTGTGCGGCCAGGCATGTTGTTTTAAATGCCTAAAAATGTTAGAGTTTTCATTCAAATGTAGTGTCAAGCGTCGAGAATGCGAGTTTGTGTTGTGACCAACATAAATATTATTTAGTTCGTTGGAGATACAATCTCCTAAAAGGGAATTGAATTTGTAAACTATGTTGGTTTTTTGCAAATCGCTAACCGGGGAAGAAGAATCATTGCGAATAATTGAGTTGGATATACTAGATTTAGTGTAGTACATGATTAACTTAATTTTTTTGCTAGGATCTGTTGTAGATTTATTAGTATTTACTAATTTTTTTTAGTATATTTTCATCTTGTTTATAATTAGTATGCATTTGATTACGATATAGGAGATTAATATGTTTGAGATTAGTAGAAGCAGTATTATGTACTATTTGCTTAGTATTGAGATTTCTAAGAAAGTATTTTATTTGTTCATCAACTATATAGTTTGGAAAACTATTATTAATATGTGTTTGTTTTATATTCTTTAGTTCACTGTAAAAAAACTGTTTTGTGGATGAATTAGTTTCTGCACGATGTATTAGATTCTTTATAATTTCTATTTTGTAGTAATATGAGCATTCGCTCTTGTAGTTAAGTGTACATGAATTTATGCAGGTAGTTCTTTTGTATGGCGAAATAGTAAATTTGTTATTATTTGTGTAACGCCCATATTATTATAACAGGTTATCTTCCTCTTTGACGAAAATAGTCTAGCATACAAATGGATGGCTTCGGTGTTTAAAGGAAAAATCTTCAAATGGCAAGGAAATTTCTTTATTGCATTATGTTAGCTATCTCTTTTCCCTTCATCAATCTTCTGCTTCTTCTCAGAATAATTTCTGATAATATAGAAATAGCTCACTCTTTCTCTACATTCATCCGTGAACAGTTTTGTGTTTGGTGATTTTAATGCTCATCATGTCAATTGACTTAAATCATTTTAATGTTATTGACATTGACAGTATTCAGACTCAGTTTTTCCGTTGCTCAGTCTCTATCAAATATTGGATTTCCCTACACATTTTCCTAATAATTCTAATCAATATGCTTCTTTACTTGATTTGTTCCTTGTCTCCTCTTCTAGATTTTGTTGAACAACACAACGCTGTCCTCTTGGTAATTCGGATCACGATGTCGTATATTTATTTTGAGTCGTCTATTAGACAAGAACCACCTTTTCCCTATACTTCTTTCTTTTACCAGCGTACTGACTGGTATTCATTTCTTGGATCCGCCCCTTGGATTGATATTCTTAATCTTCCTATTGAGAATTTTGCCACAGAGGTTTCTTCTTGTATCAAAGCTGGCATCAATGTTTTTGTAGCTTCTCGGAAATACCAGGTGAAACAAATATCTGCTCTTTGATTCACAGTTGCTTGTTCAGGAGCTATAGACTACAGGAATCATTGTATCTAGGTTATAGTTGCGATCACAACAGACGCTTCTTTGTATCTGCATGTAATAATTGCAAACGGGTCCACAAAATGTCTTTCTTTGTGGTCAGAATGAGGTTACGTATAGCCTCTAACAAGTTTGGCTATCGTGACTACTGGCGGCTCTGTAATAGTATTTAAAATAAGCTTAAGTTTTCTATCTCTCCTCTCTTCAGTGAATTTAGATTCTCTTCAAATTCTACTCTTGACTCATCTGCAGTATGTTTGCCTAACTTTTCAGTTAGAATTGGGTCTCCCTGAACTGGATCCCTACAAAGCATGTGGAATTAATGGTATCTGCTATACTTCTTAAGAAATGTGCTCATGAACTGGCTCCTGTTCTCTCCAAAATCTGCAATAAATGTCTTGCTGTCTCTTGCTATCCTACTTGTTGGAAATCCTTTCTGCAGTTCTCATCTTTAAGAGTTCAGGTAAACCATCTGATCCTTCTAGTGACTGGCGTATCAGCATTCTACCTCTTTTTGGCAAAGTACTAGAGGTTCTAATCAATTCTTAATTAGTTAAGCATCTCACCTTGCAATGTCTTCTTTCAGACTTGCAGTCACTCTCTCACAGACGCGCCGTTGCCTCTCTCTGTCTTTTCTACAAATACTTTCATGGTAATTGCTCCGATAAGCTGCTTTCACTGGTTCACAGACTCCATGAATTCAAGCGCCCTACGAGGCTGGCATCGCTCTCCCACCCTTACACTATAGAAATTTTTAAATGTAGCCGTCTCTTCTACTCCGATAGCTTCATACCTCGCACCTCTCGCCTGTGGAACACCCTTCCCAATTACTGTTTCCCTGAAAGCTATAATCTCCAACTATTCAAATGTAATGTCAATCGACACCTCCAGTTACCTTGACCTACCCACTATCCTTCTCCTCATCCTTTCTTCTATCACTCCTATCTGCTCTCGCTCCAAATCTTCCGCAACCCCCTGCATCCTAGTGGCTTCACGCCTTGATCGGAGCGTAATGCTTAAAAAAAAAAAAAAAAAAAGCATGAGACGAAGAAGTCACAATGAGTGACTCTCTCGGAGGTTAGCATCAGCCATACTGATGGAAAGCAAAAATAGTTGTCTATGATGACCAAAAAAATAAGGCGTTAAAATTTACAATACATTTATTACCCTAGTTAATAAATGATTTGATTTCGTTTTAGAGGTCAGCTGCCATAAAATATCGGACCTGTCAGACTTATTATTAAGACAAGAGTAAATATTTGAGTCATCCATATAAATGCTGAGTTCTGAACTGATGACATCGGGATAAGAAACAATGTAAGTACAAGGATAGAGCCCTGGGGAATCCCTGCATTAATGTGAAGTGATCTAGAATTCTGGTTGTTCGGCATGATTTTCATTAGACGATTTGTTAAGAAAGATTGGATCAAGTCAAATATTCCGCCAAAAACACCATAGCACTTCGGCATTGTCACAATGCATTTAAGGGAGACAAACTCGAGCCTCGATGTTCTTATCTAAATTTTGATAAAATAAATTTAGTAATAACCGATAACACATCGGCGGTTGACCTCGAGAAGAAGTTGTAACAACTTAAAATGAAAATACTGAATATATATTGTTATTAATACGCAAATAAATATTAAAGGTTGAAGGGTTTTTCTATTTTTTATTTTTTGAAACTGTTTTTAGTTTATGAATCGACATAGACATATTAGGGTGGATAAGGCCAGAATAACAGACACTGCTGCTCATCGATGGCTAACTGGTTAAAAGCTGGTCTGAAGTTTGTTCAAGAATACAGCATATTAGTGGCATTAAATTTTTTAACGGAAGTGGCAGTATTGAACCTATCTTTGCATGGTACTGCAAGTAAGAAAGAAAGAAAGAATATATTTATTTGTTTGATATTCTCAGAAATGAACAACCAACCATTCTTATATGTTTATTGTTTTATGATTTAATTTCATTATAATATTTCCAATAAGATCTTTCACGTCTATTTCACATCCACTGTTTTCTTTTAAAATAAGAGTTGAAGAATTATTTTCCAAGACAAGTGATTTTTTTCTAAAAATCAATAACTTGTTAAAACGTGCTAAAAAGGCGCACGAAAATCAAAACTGAACAATGATCAATTTAATAATTTAAGTCTTGAGAATCGAATCTTAGAACATCCTCGGTTATACAATTTTCTTTCTTTCTTTTTTTCCTAGTTATTAATATATTTTGGGGGGGGGATATTTTTATGGGTCTAAATGAAGCATCCTAAATGCTCTAATGACTTTTGAATATACTCTTCAAGCTTACTAACTCAGTAACTTCTTACATTTTAGTTACTTTATCTGGAATGTTCTTAGATACATTCTTTTTAATCAGTATCACCCCAAGCAAGACAGTACAGCCACTACCATGCAATGAGATACAGGGTTAGGATGAATTAGGAACAGAAACATTACTTATGAAGAGAAACATAAAAGGGCAATTAGGTGGACAGTAGATAGCGATTGACATTGCATTTAAATTTTTGCAGATTAAAGTTGGATGAAAAGCATGGAGCCGGAAGGGAGTTCAACAATCGAGAAGTGCGAGATAAGAAACCTGTTAGCATAGAATGTACGGCCACATCTAGCTAGCTCAGCTGTAAATTGATGAGATCTCGCACTAGTCTAGTATTGTGCTTAAATTCATATAATTCGTAACTTTTCAGCTTGTGGATGCAAGACCCTGTCAAAAGGCTTTCGTAATGTCTAATACTACTTCACCGTTTTTATCTAGAGTACGATAAACTCTTTCCGTAATTATCGTTAGTACATCAGCAGTTTACCCGAAAAAAACGAAAGCCGTATTGCTTGTTTGAAGAAAAGGCCTTGCAATGAGAGATGATGAACCAATTCCGCATTGGAATAGATTAGAGCTTCTAGTAATTTCTCAGAAAAAGGTAGAAGGCTAATAGGCCAATAGTTGGTTGGGTCGAAAGGTTCAACAGAGTTCTTAAAAACTGAAAGAATAGACGATGACTTCCAGCAGGTAGGAAAGCAGGAGACACCAAGGCATTTATTATACAGTTTAGAGAGAAAGAACAGGAGCCAGTTCAGGAGTACATTTCTTAATATCTATTCCAGGGATATCATCGGTTCCACATGCTTTGTGAGGATCTAGGTTAGAGATGATAGCAAAAACCATAGAAGCACGTCACTCAGCAGAGAATCAGTTCTAAGTGGGAAGTTAGCCAGGGATATTCCAGATGAGTCAAGAGTAGAGTTTGAGGAGAATTTACGGGCAAAGCATTCAGCTTTATCATCGGAGGATGATAACACTTCAAATCGATTGAAGAGGGGGAATAGAGACCATATTTAATTATATTTCATACTTTTTCATTATTTCGTTTCTGACCATTTATTTTAAAATTTTCTTTCATGGAATCTTTCATTCATTCTAGATTTAGACTTTTTTTTTATTTACTTTCTTTAATGATTTCTACCTTTCTTTCTTTTATTCATTCATTCTTTATTTCTTGATTTCTTTTTGCTATTTTATCTTTAAGTCTTCCTTTGTTGTTTTTTTCTTTTTTTTTTCCTCGATTTTTTTCTTTGTCATTCTATTCTTGTTGGTGTTTCCTTTCCTTCCGTCCTGGGTATGACGATAAACTACATTCGGCATCAAGATTGGGAGATTGGAGAAGCGTGGAGCCACCTATTGGCTACTGTTGTTCCTAGGTCCACCTTGATCCGGTGAGGTAGCACCTGTTGAGCAAATAGTTAACCCCAAAACAAAAATCAACATATGTATGTAACAAACATTTGCACTGAAATTATAAAATGATATACAAAATCTGTAGTTGAAGGCATACAATTGTGTACAAAATAGTTAAATGTCGGTATTAAATAACTCATAGAAATGTTGATGTGCGGCTAAAAAAAAAAAAAAATTCCTTTCATTTCCCTTCTTTTTCTTTCTTTTCCTTTCTTTTCCTTTCCTTCCTTCTTTCTTTCGTTATATATTTATATATTTATTTACATTTTCCAACAATACTTTATTTTCTTCTTTTCCTGTTATGCTTTCTTTCGCTGTTTTTAGTAAATTTAATTTTATATTTTTTTTTTTGCTTTCTTTCCTTCGTTCACTCATTTTTCCTTTGTTTTCTTCTTTTTCTTTTTTCGCCTTATTCTTTTATTTCACCTTTTTCATTTCTCTTTATTAACTTTTCTATCCCTTTTCTTGAAATCAGTCTTTTAATTCATTATTTTTCTAAGTTACTCTCCATTATTTTATCGTTTCTCTCCTTTCATTCCTCATTTCTTTCTGTAATCTTGTCCTATCTTTTTTTGTTCTATTTCGCCTTCCCTATTCATCTGTCTTTCCTCCTTTGGCTTTAATTAAACAGCCATTTCATTTTACTGCGAACAAGTTCGAGTGATTTCTGTTCTTTAAATGTTATTAAAACAAAAACATTTTCCAAACGATCCTTTTATTCTTCTTTATCCAAATTCCTAAAACTTGAGCAGTAATCTAATGAGAAAATGTTTTCATACTTTCAAAGTGAGCCTAAAACTTGAGCATATCAGAAGCAAGCGGCCATTGATACTATGGCGTTACAGAAGACAAAGTGTGAATGCCGCTCTGTTTTCTACTTTTTTTTCAGTTGCAAATAACAAACTAGCGCTGATCGATGCTTTCTGAAAAGATTCCCGCTCAAAATCGATTTACAAAACCAAGCATCTAATGGATATCGAGGATTTTGAAAGCAAAAATAAAGAAATATAATAAAAAGCCCCAAATCTCATCCATGTTCAATGTTAAGAAGTTAATAAGCACGATCGTTAACAAAGCGTTGCTAGTATTTGATTTTGATGCTTGGATCAGTGTAGAAGGGAAAATTATAAAATAAAAATAAATTTGAACATGTGTAAATTTGACTTACCCTTGAAAAAGACCGAAATATTTTGGTTATCTACAACATAACAGAGCGTACAACATCAGTCGTAAATTTAATCTTGAACTAAAATATATCAGGTCCACCAAGTATTTGAGAAGGCATTTTTAGCGAGTCATAAATAGAAGATGGCCTAACATCACATACGCGACATTCGATATTTTCATTCCTCTTGAATCGAGAAGTTAGCCGTGTGTGGTTCAGCGGGATTTGGCTTTCTTCCACATAGACTACATAATCTAGGAGTAGGTAGTCAAGAATTGTCATGATCATATCACCAACATCTATCTTCTTAGTTCTAACTTGAATCCTTTGAACCAATCGATCCGTATTTCCTGTACTTGATCCTGGTTTATGGAATCTCGTTTAAATACTTCTTTTTCTTTCTTTTACGTGCCGTGTCCCTTCAGAACGTAGTCGATAATGGCTCTCCACAACTTCCTATTCTTTTGTAGCTCTAACTAATGCTTATCTCCTTACTATCCTTCCCAGTCCCTGTTTCGATATCCTTTGACATTAGTTAACCTAATCATTAGATATTTTACTAATTGTTTTTTTTTTCTGTGATTGTCTAATTCTCCAAGTCCTCTCTTCTCGTTAGTTGTCTCAAAAATTTCAATTATCTCGTGCTGATTCTAAGTATAATTGTATTTGTTTTGTTTTGTTTTTGTTTTGTTTTTGATTTTTTGTTGTTGTTTTTTTTTTTTTTGCTTTACTTTTTCCTAAAAACATTCTTATTCAGGAAAATGGAAACAAAAAAAAGCACTTATATTTAGAATCAACAAGAAATAGTTGAAATTTCTGGTACACATAACGAGGAAAGAGAACTTGGAGAATTAGACACCCACGAATTATACCAGGCCCAAAAGCCACTCGAGGTAGAGTGTTACAGAGTAAGAGGCACAGTTTATATGTGGGGAAGATAACAGTTGACCCTAGACCTGAACAGTTTAAGATTGTAATAAACGAGAAAGAATCCTCTTGGCAGTCTGTTCGTGGGAAAAATCTGATCGAGTGGAACTTACATCTCACCAATGTTATACGAAGGGAATGGGGAAGGTTCGCTAAAATATTCGTGGTATGGCAGGTTTTACATATAGAGAAAGATCATACAATAATATATATACACTTTGGTATGCAAGTCAGTCTCGTAAGTTATTACTAGTAAGTTCGATCCACTGTGTTCAACTAATGTGGCCTTGTAACTAGCGTAACTTTATGCGGAAACACTTCGCGGTTGCGTTGTTCTTCCTTCAAATTCCACACAGCTGCGCGTAATGATGGATGCACGCATCAGAAAAGTGAGACGGGCAGTTAATGTCTAATAACTTTAACTTATTATGCAAGCTAATGCAATAGCAATATCATTTACCCCAAGCGATGGATCAATTAGACATTTTGGAGGGGAAATAATTAGTAAAATAAGTTATTTTTGATGATGGAATGCGGGCTGAGAAGAGTGAAAAGGAGGGTTGAAGAAATGAATGAATGAACAAGACTGAAATAATAATAATAATAATAATAATAATAATAATAATAATAATTATGAGGACGAGGAGGAGAAGAAGGGAGTGAGGTAGTGAATATGTAGTGATTATTTGGGTGTTAGTGGCGAGGGAGGTTACAAAAAGAAGAAATTAAAAAAGATAAAAATTACAATGACGATAATGAAGACTATTCTAGTATCCAATATCACATCGGATAATATTGATATTAACACTGATAACAATTATGAATACTTCAACCTTATGGTGATGACGACATTGACAATGATGATGATGATGATGATGCTTACGACGACGATGACTAGGATGATAATGATGATGATGATGATTCTAGGCTATCGTGTTGGTGATGACGGTGACGAATTTAGAAGAATGCGAAACGAAAAACTTCAACGAATAACTATAAAAGACGGATAGAAACTATCACGAACTGAAAGACGGATGTGCATGGCGAAGCAAAGGATATCACTTATTCTAACTACGTCAGCAACAATTGCCTCAAGGTAACTACTGACAAAATCAAAAATAAAGAGTATATTTTTGGATAAAATAACGATACTTCCAACCAAAGGCATGAACGCAATATTCTGGCTCAGAATCAATGTAAAACAGGAGTAATAATGTAAGAAAAGTTGTTTCAGCTGATCATTGGACGAAGATCAAACAAATTGAAAAATTATGAAGTACAGAAACTACATCCGTGAACTGGACGAAGCAAATGAATATTTTTAAATATCTGTTGCACTGGGAATTATCCCAAGGAGATTGAGATGAGATTAAAGGGATTGGAAATTTAAGGAAATGTTCCTCCTGACCACGATAAAGTTCAGGACAGTGAGAAGAATAGAGGATGTGCTATGGAATTAGGGAGAATTACTTCTCTTGAACGAAATAAATAGTAACATTATTTTCCTTATTTTTTGTGGCCATTATTATTATTATTATTATTATTATTATTTATACTTTCTTTCTTTTCTTTTTTTTGCAAATTTTGATAATGAAGTTCTAGTGAAGCAATACCTACTTCTGCGTATCATGTCACTTCTCGTAGGACTAAATTTGCTACTAACTCGAATAATGATGCCTTAATAGTTTCAGTTTTTCCTCGGATTTTCAATTCTTTAATCTGATGTTGAAGATAAATAAAGAAAAGAAAACAGGAAATAAGGGAATTTCTCTTTTTAACATAACAGTTTTCAACAAAGATGGTAAACCCGGAGTCCGTGTAAATATTTAGGGTTTCCTATGCCGGAGGTGGGGATTGAGATCAGAAACTGATTGACAAATTCAAATTGCTGAAATATTGATTTTTCTACAAAATAAAATTCTCCTTTTTAATCAGACAATATCAGAATATGTGGTTGGGGGAATGACATTCTTAAAAATAATGAAAAAAATGAATTAGGTAAAAAAAAATTAAAAAAAAGGTCGGTCGAGAAATGCTACTTTAACAGATTAACTACAGCCGATGTGATTATAGCAAGAAAAAGGCTAGAATAAATAAGAGAATAAAGAAAGATGAGGAATAGACAAAGTAAAATACGAAAAAAAAAATTCTAAAAAGCATTATATAAAAAGTAAAAAAAGAAAATTATAAATGATGACGATCATCATCATCATCATGAAAGAGAAGATAACTAAGGCACATTTTCTATCCATAGCTAAGAATGGCGGAAAATGAAGAAGAATGATACTAATGGACATGAAAAGAAAATGTATCAAAGAAGAAGAAGAAGAAGAAGAAGAAAAGGGAGGAGGAAGTGGAAAAAGAAGGAGAAGAAGAAAAAGAAGATGCAGAAGAAGAGGCAGCAGCAGCAGCAGAAGATGTTGAAACGCAATAAAAAAAAGAATTGTTAAAAGACGAAGCTGATCCTTGTACTGATGTAGCAATCCAATCAATACTGTTAATCATTATGATAGTTATAATGATAGGAAAGTGATGATAAAAATGACAATATAACATTAAAAAGTATAAATAGTAATAAATAATTAATAATGAGAATGTGAATATGAAATGAAATGACAAGGTAATTCAACAAAATTCGTTTAGCCAAAAAATGATATGCGTTGCGAAATCTGTACTTTCTTTCTTTGAAAGAAAAAACATTAGCGAAAAAAATCCATTTCGTCATTATAAAAAATAGATACAAAACATTTGAAGGGAAGATTCTGAGGCGTAGAACGTGGTGGATAAATAAATGATTAAATAATATCAACTTATAAAACAGAACGCTGATCTGAAAGTTAAAGAGTGAGAGAGAGAGAGAGAGAGAGAGAGAGAGAGAGAGAGAATTTTAAATTAAAAAGTGAAACATTTCAGAAGAAAGGATTAAACATCATTAGTTCTTATCAAAAATATTTTCTTTTTGACAGAAATTTAGCCCAAAGATTATTTCATGTACACTTCTAGGAACTATTATTTAATTATATGATCATCATATCTCAGCCCCTACACACGGCTCTGCGATACAAAACTTTCTTCGTCGCATGTGTTTTTCCCGGTAGCGTTGCCAAGGCACATTTCCAATGAAATCCAGGTATCTTCAAACTTTTGTTATTATTATTATTATTATTATTACTGTTTCATGATACCATTTCTGACCTTGGGTCTCTAGTTGAGATCCAGGGTGAAATGAGTGTACACCGGAAGTGTACACCAGTATACACTCATTTCCTCCTGGATCTCAACTAGAGACCCAAGGTCAGAAATGGTTATCATGACAATTTCCTTGCACATCTCTCTCTTTCTCTCTTTATATATATATATATATATATATATATATATATATATATATATATTTCTTGTCCATGAGGATTTTAATAGTAGTAGTAGAAGCAGCAGCAGCAGTAATATTAGTACTGAGTGACAGAACAGGAGTCTAACAAAATGTCGCTGGTGTGCAAATATACGAAGCCCAATTTGTCGCTAAAGGTAAAAAGTTAAAAAATTGTATCTTTTACTTATCTGGCAATACTAACGAAAACTGGTTTAAGCCTTTTAAGGGTAGTAAAATATCCCTTAAAATAACGCCCGGAACTAGACGATTATCAAGTGTCCATTTTGATCACTCGAAACGCAAGAAAATTTTCAGAAGAGCAAAAATTATGAAAAATATCAGGATCTCTCGCGTGGTAAAATACAAAAAGCGAAAATACTTTTTATACGCTCTAACAACTTGTGAAAAATTTTACGAATGTTTTTTTTTTCTAGACATATTTAAATCATCGTTGTTGTTGATGAGGTTGTTTTCGAAATTCTAAGAAATTTCAATGTTCTCTTTCTGATGTTAAGTATAACTGTCCGTTATGTTTCCATTTTCTCTAAAAATTACGAATAAGCGATTTTAAGTCTTTTTTTGTCTTTTCTTTTTTTTTTCTTTTTTCTTTTTTTTTTCTTTTTTTTGTGTTTTGGCTCAAATGAAAACTCAACCATTATTTAGTTTTGTACTCGGATGTTGTATGGATAACAGGTTTTCTGAATCTTTTCCAACATGACTCTGATATAACATCCTTATATTTGTGCCCATTGAGCTTGATGCAAACTTACAGGACATTTCTTACTTTGGAAAGTGTTTCTTATACCGTTTTAACCAGGTTGGTATGTTTGTGCTGCTAATAATTATTTTTTCGCGATTATGTAGGAAACCCAAGAAAACCATGGTCATCATGTTCAAGTATTGTCAATGTAAACTTATGATATACGGATAGCTTGAATCTATACTCGATGTACACACCTACAAAAGACAGTTTGCTCTCTCTTTTCCATTTATTGAATTTACATAATCCAACAATATTTATACATCTTGGTTAGGCATGAATACGTACGTGTTATTTATGTATATCATCCAAATAGTTGCTATAGTTCCTAATTATTTCCTCCAGGTATTCTATGTATGTTTGATTTCACTGATTATAATGGTGTTTTTCCTGTTGATATATGTAAAAAAAAACAGGAAATATGCACCCTGTACACAGAAAGTCAACCAAAAGGTTATCTATCGAAGTACTGATACCAAAGATAGTGTTTCGGTGTCAGTTTATCGCGTACTTCAAATAGGGTTTCATCTTGAGGGCAGGGGCCTTGGGAACAGGTTCCGATTCGAAAGAGTGAGAGCACTTTAAAGTATATGCACAAAGCCTGCATGTTTTTTTTTTTACATAGGATAGTGACTTACCTTTATAGACCTAAAATAAGTTGTCAGAGTTAAGCATGGCATCATATATGATATATTGTGCAGTCAACTCACTAACAGGTTAGCTCAACTTAGAGATCTATCTTTTATTTCCTACTAATACTACTATTGACACTGCTACTATTATTACTACTGTTGCTTTTATCACTACGACTGCTACTACAAATTTATCACGATTTTGACCGACAAGGGAGATTGTACGTGTAACAAAAGTGATAAGAGCTGAGGAGAACTACAGAATTCCAATACAACTGCAACAATACATTCTTGATCTGACACTCTCTCTCTCTCTCTCTCTCACTCTCTTTCTCTCTCTCTTTCTCTCTCTCTCTTTCTCTCTCTCTCTCTTTCTCTCTCTCTCTCTCTCCCTCTACCTCTCTTTCTCTCTCTCTCTGAATTCAAAACCTGCGAGGAGCGTTTGGGTAGCTTGTGGTATACTGTGCACCACTTTCTCTGTATTCGGCTCTTCCAAAGTGTGGTTGGTTCTGCAATGCCCTCATCACTACAATCAAATGATATGTGCGTGTAGTCTGGTTGTTGGTTCTAAGAACTGAGCTGCTTGACCCTCATACGTCGAAAACGAGGGGAGAGCCCAGTATATAAATATACCCATCCCCTATTTCTATATCAATCAGTACGTTACCTATTTATATTCTAAAGTCATTTGTTTAGAAAGTTCTCTCTTCGCACTTCATTCGGTCATGGCACCTATGCAATGCTCCGCAAGAACCCAGGCTACAAAATTTCTTGAATGGCTGATCGCATTCGTGGCCAATCGAATGAAGAGGACATTTTTCTACAAATCCTTTTTACTGATTTTTTTTTTTGTATTTTTTGTTTCCTTTGTTATTTGTTTCATTTAAGTCATCATCATCATTATCATCATCATCATCATCATCAACTTATGAAAATTCCTACAGTGGTCACTGTTGGGGAACAAGTGGCCAGTCGCTTTACCTCTCTCATCCACTTCCACGCTGTTGTTAATTTTAATTTTTGATCGAATTTCGAAATATTTTGATTGTTATTTGAACAAATTTACCTGTAATAACAGTAGGTTTGTACTAGAGGTCAATGACAGTAATTTTAAAAAAGAAAATAACATTCTAGCATTTTTTTTATTATTCTATGCTCCTTGTCTAAATAGTTCCATTTCTTTCAAATATTTTTCAGTTTTTTTCTACGAGTCTTCGGGATTATTCAAAGCATTCAACCCGCCATTATTTATTCGTACAGCTGTCAACATCAGATGCAACAATATTTTTTTTTTTTTTTTTAACTTTTCTGTTAAGTTCAGTCTCTTTTAGTTTTATTCAGTCTTTTAAAAAATTACATTTACTACTTAACTGTTTGTCTTCTCTTTGTTTGCGACTAGCCGTGGTACCCGACGTTGCCCGGGTGTATATGGCTGCACCTCACCCTCCTGTATACACGCACCCCCTGTCTGGAAATGTCTGCCTCCGTCCCCATTGGCATGCATCACCCACTGGTATACTAATCTACCATCCCACCATCTTTTTACAGTTATGTCCTTTGCAAGTCTTTGATGGTTCTTAATAAAGGAATTCTATCGATAAAACCTTCTTGTCTGGTTGTTGCTTGAGGTAAAATTGTTTCAATGTTTTAGATATTCAGTAAATTTCCTATGGCCGTAATATCTTTCAAACAGTATGGCATTTTTCACAAATCTAATAATCAAACAAAAAATAGAGATGGAGTGTCAGAGCTTGATTCAGCTGCAAGTGCAAGCGCATAAACGCCCCATCCTTGTTCGCACGTTTACTGTAAAGCTAGGGGCTAATAAGAGGTTCTTCAGGCATTTTTCCCTTTTAACGCTTCAATAAACCTTCTCAAACAATCTTTGTAAAATGTTGTTCGAATGCCATTTTACGATGCAATCATATGAAAACCTACTGAATAAATGGCAAAAGCCGATTTTGGACCTAGCTTGTCGCAGATTTCGTCAACTTAACTGAAATAATCCAAACCAAGCATTCACGCAAGACAATTTATGTTTCGTATGTAATTTACGTGGTAAAGAATCAGATGAAAAACCAGGGAGTTATGGCCGAAAAACGGGCTTTTTAACAGTTTTTCGTTATACGTTATCTTATTTCTTGAATGATGACATTTTTTTCACGTGTAACTTTGCCTTGGTTTTTGCAAAAAGTCGTACGCACCTTCAGTTTTATCGATTTTTCTGATAAACCTGAAGGGCCTGGAGATTGAAAGATTGGTCTTGACCTATTTTAATAAATTTGCAATATGTGCGTACAAAGTCATCAAAATCGATTGAGAAATGCTGACATGCATAAATAGCATATACACACACACACACACACACACACACACACACAGAAATAGACAGCCACACAGACAGACACACAGATAGACATCTGTGTGATCTATTGCAAAGTCCTAAATAATCTTAGTTACTCTATTCTGTACAAGAACATCTGCTTTGATCCTGAATCAGTTCCCTATAAAGTTGAAACCAAGTCGTTTTCCCAGTTTTCAGTGAATCGTCCTTCTTACCCAGTCATGCCTATTGAGTTGCCATTCTGAGTTAATTTGCAATATTCTTCTTCTTCTGTCTGCTCTGCACTGTCATGAAGTAGGCAATTATGGATCTCCTATGCAACTCTTAATAAATATGGTAGTTTTACCATATCTTCCAAATCCTTCTTTACGCTATCCATTTACGGAATTAGAGAACTTCCTGGTAGGATTTTTAGAATCGCCTGACTGTATTGGTTGAAGAATTCCGGCAAGAAGACACATCCTTGTCTTACATCATTTTCTATTTTTAGATATTTACTGAATTCATTTTCCATCTTTTTCTGCTGACGATTTGCTTCCAGTATCCTTCCCGAATATTTCAGGGTCACCCATCAGTTCAGTTCCAATAGTTCTTTGGCATGTATTTTATCAAACACTATAAACCAAAGGTACACATCCTTTTTTATTTGTGTTATTGGTTTGGCAAAAATTTCTTTTTATTATTATTATTATCATTATTATTATTAACTTCCAAATTTTTAAGATGTTGTCGATGGTTGACGAACTTCTACTGATATGGGATAAGAGTTCAAATTTCATTGGCGACATCTTTCAATCAAATCTGCTTGCTTAGCCGACATGGAATGTAAAACGGACCTGAATATTAAGATAAAAAGTAAAAATATAATACATAAATGACAATCAAATCTCAGTATTTCATCATGAAAATGTATAATATGAAACATTTCGGCAAAATATGATTTTCATCTGAATTGCTTTTGTGCCGATGGATTCTCTTGGGTTAACTACATCCTACAAAATATCTAATGTTCAAAGAAAGATTTTCATACTTCCAAACGGGCAGCCATTACTGTTCCTATTAATCAGTCTTGGCTTTGATACGATTTGAATGAAAATTTGCTATCAAAACTGATTTATTAGATTTTAGTCCAGATTATTTTTTAATTATATATAGTTATTTATTAAGTGTTTATTAAATAATTTACACTTTACAATACTCAGATATAAAACGCAATATATTTACAAACAACCACACACACACACGCATTTATATATATATATATATATATATATATATAATTATTTATTTAAAAATATGATTCCAAATCGCTACATAAGAGGTCTCATGTTTCAAAACTAGAGCCGAAAACTTCAATATAATCCTTTAAATTAAATTGAGTTGAAAGTAAAATGGGCTCCGTTCCATCCTCAAGCGAAATTTTGGTTCCAACAAATTATATTTATGCTCTACTTTTGTATCGAGCACTATTTTTTAAAATAATAACTAAAATACTAAGGGACTTTGGATTATTTACCTAACCAGTTCCTTCCTATTTTCTATATATATATATATATATATATATATATATATGACATTGAGGTCAACAACCAGGGCTGAAGATTGCGCTTAATCATGAAACAGTTCTATATTTACATAAGCTCTCTGATATTGAGTACTTTAATCCATAAATATATATTTTTAACACACACACACACACACACACACACACACACACACACACACACATATATATATATATTATTATTATTATTATTTTCAGATAGAGTGTATCTGTAAAGGAACATAATGAAAAAATGGCTTTGCCTTGATAAAGTCCCTCAGAGGACGAAACGCGTTGTCTAAGAATAGACTTTCATCTTTTATTCATTTATATATATATATATATATATATATATATATATATATATATATATATATATAGTAAAAGATAACAGATCTGTTGGTATATAATCCAAGTATATCCTAGTAATATAACACTAATACTAGATTTGTCAAAATTCAATGAAGAATTTGCTATGTTATCGGTCTTGACCTGTCATCTCGACTTCGGTGGCTTCCTGTTTTGCCTTTTTTTATAAATATTTTCATGGCAATTGTTCAAATGAGTTTTTCTCTTTGGTACCTTACGAATTTAAACACAATATTATATTGACAGTTAGGTACCCACACAGTATCTGATATCGGTTGCTTATTTTCAGATCGCCATTCACTTCTTTTAACCGGCAGGCTGTATTCATTACTATTGAAACAAGCAAGATTTTTGTAATGACTCTATTTTCAAATCACAATCCAATAAATGTAAGCTTTCAGCAGATACGTGGTGACTTCACCTGTGATCAGATGAAAGCAGATCTCCCCCAATCTTCAACATATTTCTCAATAGTCAGGCAGCATTGACAGAGTTAATTCTTTCTGGTTATCCTATCTTCTTATCGTCATTCTTGTGTGTGTGTTTAAACGATTCTAATTTCGTTATTATAGACACGGACCTAATGTTTCCGATCTTGCACCATTTTTTCTTCTTTCTTTCTTTATTTTTATTTTGTATTTTTTGTTCTCTTTGTTTGGTCTTCCCCCTTTGGTCCGTTTATACAAACACATATCAGATCTGACAGGCCTTCTTCTACTTGCTCATGACATCACATCTGCTCTTCTCAGTTGGATGTGATAGCTGACTTGGGTCTGAAAATTTGATAATATATTGTTCGTTTTATTTTGTAGATGATGATAATATTAGATGCTTACGTTTTTATTACTATTATTGAGGAGGAAACGAGAGAAACGGCCAGAAATATGACTTTAATGTTGCAGGAAATGATGTTACGAGATTATTATTATTATTGTTGTTGTTGTTTTTGTTGTTGTTGCTATTGTTTTTGTTTTTGTTGTAGCCAGTTCTGTAATGAACATTATCAATATGTTTTGTTCAAAGATTTTTACATCGGTCTTGATTTTTGCCAAATTTCTTTCTTTTTTTTTAATTCCATAACCTTATCCATATTTCCATCACGATTATATTCTATGAATTGCATTGTTGTTATTGCCTGATTAATTTCTGGTAGCCTTATTAGCTATCAACGTAAATAACTGAAT